CGGGGGGGGGGGTGACAAAATGTGTGCATTTTCATGGTGCTCATTCCTTGGGCCAAAGCATTTGAGACTTATCAAAACAGAGCTTCAGGAAGGAGAGGCTTCATGAGGCTGAGATATTCAGAAGGTCAGGCTGCCCCTCACCGAACGGGCATTGGGGGATCGGACACTGGACAACCAGCCACATCAGGAAGCTAGAGCAGCCAGAGGATAGGAAGATGGCATCAGCCACTTGCTGGGCAGCTGTCCAAGGAGCTTAGAGGCTCTGATGATAAATGTAACTTTCTCAGTCACTATGTATAAGGCTAGCTGGACGGAACGGCCTAACAGTGTAACTTCTTTGGGGAAAACAAATGAAGAGTTTTGTAGACATAGTTCCAGGGAAATCATTTGGGCCAGCGCTTCTCAGTCTTGAATGTGCAATGTGTGAACCCCCTGGGGGAGATCTTTTTAAAATGCAGATTCAAATCAGTAGATCTGGGTGGGGCCTGGGAGTCTGCATTCTAACCAGCTCCCAGGGGGTGCTAGGCCTGCCGGTCCAAGGACCACACTTAGGGGAGTGGGAATTTTGAAGGGTTTGTATCTGATCACCTGTTTCACTGGCTGTAAAACAGATACTTATCTCCACAGGCAGCTATTTACATACAGCGATGAAGAGCTTCTCCTCCGTCTTCAGCGTGATGGTTTCCAAATCTTCATGCCCAACAGGCTCTGTACCCAAAGCGTTCTCGGTGGCCACAATCTGGGGAGCTGATTCTAAGAAACAACAATAAAGAGTTCATCTTGGAGTTAGTTTTATACGCAGCAGTCAGAGCGACAAGGCCAAGCAAGGTCAAGGTGGATTCCAAGAGCAGAGGAAAGACAAAACCTTGGTCTGAAAGGCCAGCCCCTGTGACCGAAGCTGTGAGAATCCCCAGATTAGGAGAGGGTTATGTCTAGGAAAGAGAAGGGAAAGGGAGAGAGCTGCCCCCTGCTGGAGCCTGGAGATGACGCAATGACATGGAAGTGCCAGCCAGGAATCAATGCAGAATAAATACACAGGAACCTTGGAAAAGGCGTGATTGATGGGCAGTGAGAAAGGCAATAGCATCAGAGGCCACCTGGGGAGCTAGAGAAGAGGCAAGCTGGAGAGGCAAGTTCCATAGCCCTGTCTGAAAGGGCTGAACCCACCACCCTCTTGGACTGCCTGTCCCTCAGGGCACATGCCCCGCCCACTGCACAAGGGTTAGGGAGACCTGTTCCATGGTCTCAAGATTGCCTGGGAATAAACATGGAATCCAGGTGGGGCTCCTCTTCCTCCTCCAGGGGCCAATTTTCAAGCTCCCCAAGGCTATATTCTTGGGCCCTGCTCTCTGCTTTCTCGTCAATCTCATGGCTTCAGTTATTACATTAAAGACTAATGGCCCAACTTTCTCATTACACACAGGTCCAAGGTGTCCACCTGAGCACTAGCTATGTCCAGCTGGATTTGAAGAGCCACTTTGGGTCGCCAGGTTAGGATGAAGCCAGGAAGCAGGCAGAGGGCTCCGTGGCGGCTGCTGTGGATGACCCAGGCCCACAACAAGGCTCCACCATTTCCTTGCTTTGCAACTTGGAGCAAGTTACTTCACCTCTCCGAGCCTCAGTTTCCAGCTCCAACAAATGCAGGTATGATAATAGCACCTGGCTCCTCAGGTTGTTGAGAAGGCTAAACAAGCCGGCCTGTGAAGCTGTGGCCTGGACTGAGTGCCCATGCATGCTGGATAAATACAGAACCGGCGTTTGTCTTAACAGCAGCTGTTAATTACAGATGCGGCAGTTAACCCACTCCTTTTGAAATGTATCCTTTGTTCATTGAGGCCAAGGCTGGCTTCGCCCTGCTGCTAGGCTAGGCACAGTTTCACTGTGAAAAATCACAGGCCAGGCCATGATGAGGCAGGAGCATGTGTATGACAACACCTAAATCTGCAGTCCTTCTAGGCCTCTCCCAGACAGTGAGGGGCTTTGCTTTGGGGGAACTTCTATTCTGGGCCAGACCAGCTAAAGTCCCCAAACAGACCTCAAATACTGCACAGGCTGGGGACAGAATGACCCGTTCCCCAAGGCCCTGTGGCCTGGACAAGTTCCAGGTCTGGCTCAACCTTACTGACACCACAGCAGTAGGATGGCATCCCAGACGAGTGTTGGGTTTATTTGTTGGTCGGAAGGACCCGGGGATCTTGGCTAGAACCTGCCAGGGGTTCCTTTCCCTAGACCTGCATCACACACTATGTAGCCAGAGCACATGGCTACTGAGTGCTTGAAATGTGGCCAGTACTCCTGAGAAACTGCATTTTACATTTTATTTGTTTTTACTTTTAATTAAATTTAAAAGCTGGAGCAGTATGAAACAACTCCCTTCTTTTAGTAGGACTTCCTTTCACTTTAACCGTTGAAAAGTTCGCATTTGAATTACGATGTGTTGTGTAAGTGTCAAAAACATATTGGATTTGAAGACCTAGTGCTCCCCAAATGTAAGGTATCTCATAAATAATCTTATATTGGTTTAAATTACTATATCTTAGATATAATGGGTTCAATGAGCTATATTGTTAGTGTTTCGCCCATTTCTTTTTACTTTGTCTAATGTGACTACTAGAAAATGTAGGCATGGCTCCTGTTATATGTCTATGAACAGCACTGCTGTAGATAATGAGACAATGTATGTACTTTATCTTATAGAAACAGCAGCCAGAAGTGGAAACCTGGCCTGATCCCACAGATGCATGACTCATCTGGGATTGCGATTCTGGGAGCCAGCATCTGGGTTGTTCTGATCACATTGTAGTGGGATAGCAAGAAGCTTGGAAAATTCCTGGACAAGTGGAACAGGGAAACTGAGGCAAGAAAATTAAACAAGGCCAAACAGTTTGGGCAGCTTGCAGCCAGCTTGCAGCAAGACCTTATCGTCCTCAACTAAGGACATGAGAATAAATGGTTAGTACCTGTCCTCCCTAACCAGAGAAGGCATAGCTTAAATCACCTGGGACTGCTAAGGGCAGGGGCGGGGGCGGGGGGAGGAGGGCGGGGAAGAAGCTTATCTCACTCACTGAACGAAGAAGTGAGCAGTCTCAGGACTTGCCAGGTGTTCTCATAAATTCTGGGAAAAGTCACAACAAAGTAAAAGGGGGACCTTGAAATCTAGTCTGTGCCCAAGATATCCAGCAGAGGAACCTTGAAACCTTTAGACAGAAGGGTATAAAACCTCTTGAACCCCCACCAGGTTCACACTCAGATTAGCTGAGTGCCCACCTGTGCTTTATGCCAGGTGTATTTTGATGAATTTTCTTGCCTTGCTTCTTTAATACATTTGCTTGCTTTGCTTCATTAATACATTAGCTTGCTTTACTACCTCGCTGCTGTCTGTCACTCTCCTGAATTCTTTCTCATGAGCATGACAAGAACGGAGGAGGGGACAGCCCTCTCCCTTCGACTCAGGGCTGTCTGATAACATCTATTCTGGTGTTTCTGGTGCCCATAACAACATTACCTTCCCAGGTAGCTCCAAGGGTTGCTGGCTCAGGGGCCTCGGCTGGGAGCACCCCTTCTGGGTCCTGGTCTTCAATCTCTGTGTTGACATCTGCAGGCAGCTCCTCTAACACATTCGCCTTTTCTGGGAAGAGCTCATCCTTAGCCTCAAAGCTTTCCTTGACAAACAGCTCCATTTTCTGCTCCCTTTCTCCATCCTCATGAGGCTCTTCCTTCCCTTTCTCATCGACATCCACGTTCTCATTCTTGTCTGGCACTGGCACCTCCCCTGGACAACAGAAGTCCAAAGGTGAACTGGGAAATGTCCTGGGAGGACAGGGTGTCTGCACGTCTCCTGGGGACATGCAGTGAACTGCTGAGAGTGAGCCCAGGGAACTGTCAGGGACCAGTAGAGAGCTGCCTGCAAGGGTGTTCATTCCTTTGTATGATTGCTAAATAGACAGGCTGGGTGTCTGTGAGAGAGTCACTTAGCTCAGCCATCTAATGGAACAGGACACAGCCATTAAGGAAATAGTGCAGGAGGTTCTTAGGAGATGCACGCGGAAGTACGTGGATTTAAGGGCCACTTTGCTGCCTTTACTTTCAACTGGTTCATCAGAACAGAAAAGTGTCTGTGTGTGTGTGTGTGTGTGCGCGTGTGTGTGTAAATGTTAAAAACCATCTGACCTAAAGATACAACATAGCTGTTCATTTTACTATTCTTTAAGCTTTTCTGAAAATAAAAATAAATCTAAATAAAAAGTTGAGAAAAGCAAAAAAAAACATACTGTAGGAGAAAATATATTTTATGGAAAATATATTATGCTAATTCAAAAGAGTAGGCAGAAAGCAATATAATTATGCCATTTTTTATAAAACACATATGTTATATGCCTGGGGGAAAGCCAGGCACTACCCACACTAAGTACTGAGTGATTCTGCTGAGATTCTGTTGTTCCTGTGCTTTTCTTCATGTAGTGTACTCACACTTCGTAATTACGTGAAAAACAATACATGCCATTTAGAAACATGCATGGAGGCTCTTGCTTTTCTACTGGGCATAGGACAAGGAAGGGGCTCTTACTCATTAAGGGGCTCTGAGCACCATCCCCAGGATCCCGCAGGCTTGCCAGGGGCTGGGCCGGGACACAGCCAGGACTCACTCACTCATTAAAAGCCTCCACCAAATGCTGGCCGGGGGCATTTGGTGTGGGCAGGGGCTCTGAGTCCTGGACTAGGGGCAGTAGGTTGGGTGGGACAGGGAGGGGGGTTCATTTACACCAAGCCTAGGAGTGGATAGAATCTTGAAATGGGAGCGAGTGTGAAGGCAAGGCAGGGAGAGGATCCAACATCTTAGAAGAGAGTCTGTGGGGGCCAAGAACATTTCCCAGGCCTGCCCTGGTCCAGCCACGCCAGGAATAGGGTGGTCCTGAATCTTTCACGGGTCTAGCAGGTTTCATACAGTCATCCACTAAATAGAGGGAAATGATCTGTGCCACAGGGAGGCAGTGCAGCCACCCTTCAAAACGGACAGAATTGAATGGTCAAGGTGAAGCCATAAAAAGGAATGTAGCACTGATCCCGCCACAATGTGCAGGAACCTCAGAAACATCCTGCTCAGTGAAAGGAGCCGGTGCAAAAGGCTACATACTGTATGGTTTCATGTATATGAAATGTCTGGAAAGATTGGTGGCTGTCAGGGGCTGGGGGAGGGGGAGGAGGAATCACTTCTAATGGGTTCAGGGTTTTATTCTGCGGTGAAGAAAATGTTCTGGAACTAGATAGAGGAGCTGTTTGTGCAACATTGTGAATGCACTAAATGCCATTTTTTAAATGGTTAATTTTGGCCCTGACTGGATTACTCAGTTGGTTAGAGTGCTGTCCTGACACGCCAAGGTTGCAGGTTCGATCTCCGGTCAGGGCACATACAAGAATCAACCAATGACTGCATAAATAAGTGGAACAATAAATCTCTCTCTCTCTCTCTCATCAATCAATAAAAATTTTTTAAATGGTTAATTTGATGTTATGTGAATTCAACTCAGTTTTTAAAAAGGTGATTTGCACAGAAGGTCTCTGACCAACACTGGGGCTGCAGCTCTCTGCACTTATCCTACCACCCCCGCCACCAAGCTCACGCCCTAACAAGGCTTCCATGACAGTCGTCTTCATAGCCCGTGACTTCCTGTCACCTGCCATGTTAAGGCTGGTTTTCAGGTCCTTCTTGATAGGACCTTCCCCAGCCCAGCTAACCTTATGTGATTTCCCA